CTTTTCCTCTATGACCAACTCTTCTCAGACACTGCCCCTGACTACATAACTGTATCTTTTTAAAATAACCCACGGAGTCCAATTAATGCTACCATATGCACATGGGTGTGTAAGACAGTATCCACCAGAGCATTAGTTATCTACAACAGCCACACTAATGTAAAAAAAAAAATGATTCTCCCACCCCCAGTAGCCATCAACTGTCAATATTTCCTCAGGTATTGAGCCCCATCCTTCTTCATGATGTATTGTTAACTGTCTTCTTCTTATGAAGGTCTTAGGCTAGCACTACACCTACCATAAAGCTTATGAGTGCAGAGGCCCTGTCAAGCCCAGAAGACATTATTTTACAGCAGTCTTACCCAATCTGTGGCTCTAAAATCTTTCTGCTTTCTCTTCCATGAGGTTCCCTGTGTCTTGCTGTGGAGGGGCTGTGATAGCAGATGTCCCATTTAGGGTTGAACACTCCACTTTAACCAGCTGTGAGTCTCTTTATTAAGCACTATTTGCTGTCCCAAAATCATCTCTGATGATGGATGCCACTTGCACTAGTCTGCTGATACAGGGGCCCTTTGGCTGGTTTTCATCATTTTCCTACTGGTGAAACATGGACTTAACGACAGCTTCATTGTTGGTACTTAGCTCCCTGTCACTGGTAGTCCTAGTTAAGGCTGTCCCATCTAACTTTGTTACTAGTATTCATACCCTGTTTCCAGGTCTCATCTCATGAGCACTGTGTTTAGTCATGTGCATCACTATCTGAAACACTGAAATTAAAGCTTTACATGCATGTGGTAAGAGTCAAATTAGAACATACTACCTTGGCTCTATAGAAGTTTAGGTTTTTGGTTCCAGAAGCAGCTAGCATTGCTGTTAGCAACCTGTTCTCTACCACTATTTTTCAGCAAGCTTCTGTTTTCCATGAAGCTATAACTCAGATTTTACACATTGGAAATACTACTCTTGAGTGGGTGACTCCCGATGAGTCAAAACAAGGGCTTAAACTAGGAGAGGGTACCTGTTGGCTGGAGCACAGAGCAAATGGCCCTTCCGTGAAAAGATGAGGCCCTGTAGTTGAATCCACTGTTTGAGTCTATATTTAAAAATTGGTTTTTCTACTCTGAAGTATGATCTAGAACCATCGCCTCCCTCCTATCAACATTTTTGTCTCAGCAATGAGAAATCTCTTGTTCCACACATCCATCTGAACTAAACTGAACCAGAAAGGCCAGCCAGCAGGCCCTTTTCCAACAATAGAGTGACTCCAAAGTCAGGCAGAGATTTTAGAATTTTGCAATTTGGATCACTGTGGTGGTTCAAAGGCTCTTAAGTTAAGCCAGTTTAGAATTGATAGTTCTTCATCTTTGACTTTAATTATGGGCTTCAGGGTCAATAGTGATATACATATCCATGTTGGTGTGTATTTATGACAGTGTTTATATGTTTGTCTGTATATGATTCCATTTTTGTGTGTTACATATTAATTTGATCAACCTAAAACACTAGGCTAAAAAAATGCTGGCAAAAAGTCAAAAGGGGTGCATATTCAAAAGAGAGAAATAAACAAGAATTCAATCAGGCCAGACACAAAAGTTGCTTATATTGAAGACTGTCTAAAAGACTAAAATAAACAAATATTTTGGATTTTAAACGATCTGAAAGAAAATGTTCAAATATTGCTTCTGGTTGTAGATGTAAAACTCTGGCACAGTCAAAAAGGAGGGAAATCACTTTCTAACATGAAACACAAATGCAGTTGAAATAGAGCGTGTTTATCCTACTTAAAGAGAACTTGGAACTTCTACTTTGAGAAATAGATCTGGGCCTCGTTTCTAAGACAGCACAAGATCTCTTTCAGAGAAATGTGAGCACTTATCACGTTTGATTGTGATGGCACTTGTAACTTGCAGTGTGGTGAGAATATAGTTAGGGAAGCATGACCATAGAGCCTTTCAGTGCTGCCTTGGACAAGACACATGAAATAGCATTGGCAGAGTTTGAAGTGATCCATTTATAGAAAGACATACAGCTCTCCATCATTCTCTGAGTGTCTTCCTCAGAGAGGGACACTCCACTGAACATTTTGGCCTCACTTCACATGGAAAGACATTCACATGAAATTGCTACAGTGGGATTTTCTTTCTTTCTTTTGCCTTTTTATAGTCATATTTGGATCTCATCAAAGTTATCACACTCACTTGACCCATTTCAGTTACTTTGTGAACCATAATATTTGTGATACTGCTTCCATCTCAGGTACAATGTATTTGAGTAAGACAAGAAAAACAGCATCACAAAAATGTGTATTTGTTACAGAAATAGTGCTTCAGGAACCACTTTATCTCTCTACAGCACCCCTCCCCCTTTAGGAACCCAAGATAGAACCTAGCACCTTGCACATGCTAGGCGAGTACCCTGCTACTGAGCTGTACCCCCAGCCCTCATTTTACTTTGCTTCAAGACAAGGTCTCACTGAGTCCACTCGGGCAGCTTTGAACTCTCTGTAATCCAGGCATGGCTTGAACTTTTGATCTTCCAACCTCAGACTCCTAAAAAACTGGGGGTCCAGGTCTGGGCAATCAGGACCAGGTCAACAGTTCTATAATCCACTCACAGAAAGCAAATACTGAGTGTGTCTCAAAATATGTGACTTTTTTTGCAAAGTAAACAAATGATTTTGGTGGGACTGCTCTCTTACTGTGTAATCTAGTGAATCTGAGTACCCCTTAAGGTGTTCATTGGACTTTGGAATTCAGTTCTTTAGGAGGGACACAGGCTATAAGGTTACTAATAGGGGTTCTGTCACCCAGGCTGTGTGACTTCAAATTCTGGTAGCTCAATGACCAAAGAGATACAGCAATACAGGTAGTTTCAGAACATTACTGTGAGAAGTCAGGTGTTTCAGGGAAATAAGAGCTGAAAAGGGCAGTGTCTCAATTATACTCAACAGAAACAAATTCCCGATGCCTTATAAGCACATTTCCTGTAGCCTCACAGGGCCCAACTGTATTGATAAATGATGCTAATAAGAAGCAAAGAACATTAAGTAAGACTAGGAACAAGGCTAAATGAGTTTTTTACTTAGAACCCTACATAGTTATATATATATATTTGTTGTAATAAAATGTGCTTAACACTGACCATTGTAACCACTTTTAAGTTCACACAATTTAGCAGCATCAAGAATATTCACATTTTAATGCAGCAGTCATCACTGTCCTTCTGTGGAGGACACTTTAACTTTCTGAATGGAAATTCTATCCCATTCAACATCAATTCCTCAGGTCCTCTGTCTCACTCCCTATTACCTATACTTCCATGTCTTATGTCTAAACTGTGGCTACCTAAGGTACCTTATGTGGTTGGAATCATTCAATATATACCCTGTTGTGCCTAGTTTATTTCACTTAGAATATTGTCTTCAAGGCTCACCCATGTTGTTACATGGGTCACAGTTTCTTTTTAAGGCTGGGTAACGTCTCATTGCATGTTTGTACTACATTGTGTGTGCATCAATCTACGTATGGGCATTGGGTTGTTCCTACTTTGGTCTCTGTTTTCCATGAATTAACATTTAATCCTCTCAGTGATTCATTGGTGTAAGGTATGTAGAAGTTTCCACAGCCAGGAGGCCCTGGGACTATGACATCCTCCCACGATGTGTTGAGTAGATCATATTTTTGGCTTACTACCCTAAATATCCCAGCTCTCCTTTCAGTGATTGAGGACTGTAAGTGAAACATGTGCCAGTTAAACCCCTATTTACATTGCTGCAGAATACAAAATTAGTGTTTTACTCCAGCACTAATCTCAGATTAAGATCATTCAGTTAATCACCAAGATAGTGTGTAGCACCACATTGGGTGCCAGATATTGGTGAAATTATTAAGGCCACTCCACGTAGTTAAAAGGGAGATTTATTTAATGGCATAACTTACAAATGAAGGGATAGGTAGGTTGCGGGTTCTGTGAAAGACGCAGCTCAGTCCGGTGGTGTTCTCTGGAGAACTCTCCTTGATCTACCTCTAGCATCCAGGGTCCAAGAAGGAAGAGAGCACGGAGCATCCCAATCTAGGGTCTTCAGGGCCATCCCTTGGCCCCACCTTGTAGGCGTGATAGTTACCAAAGCCTCAGTGGGGGTTGGAACTTCCAGACCAAAGCTGGAATAGCTACCCACTACATCAGTGTGTGTGTGTGTGTGTGTGTGTGTGTGTGTGTGTGTGTGTGTGTGTGTGTTGGCATGGCTAGTGTATTGTTCCTGTTTGGTAAAAAAGGGAAATTAAGGCATTTGGGGGTTATAAGTTTTTTGATTAAAGGTCACTAAAACACAGGATCTACCACCACCCCATGGTCTTTAGCTCCAAAGCTTTTGCTGTTAGATACAGCACAGACATTATCTGTAAAGCCTGTGAAGAACAACATGGAGGCTAGAATACGATGGCCACTACATTCACAGCAGATGCCCTTTCTCTTAGGAAACTTTTAAATAACACACCAGTCCAGTTGTCTGGTGAACAATCTGTGCTACTGAAATCATTTTCATACAATCGCTCCAATTAACAAGTCTGAAACCTGAGAGTGAAATTGCTTCATAAAAGGCATCCAGTTATGTACACTGTGGTTGGGCTTGGGAAACTGTGCTGTTGTGCACATGCCAAACCTCATGGAGCAGCAGTACCTCTGAGGGATGGGTAGGACATGGATCACAAGCAAGGTGACTTCAATGCTGTCTGCCTTCCTCTCACCTAGATACCGCTCTCTGAGACTCTCTCTCCCAGTTGGTCCATTAGTGCAATCTTTTATCTTCAGTCATTGTCCAGTGGCCTTAAACTCAAATATCCCTGTAGTCAAATAGACATGCATTATTAAAGGGAAAAGAATCTGCTGTAGGCTTTCAAGCGTGACCATCATAGAGAGACAGGCACACAATGTTAGGATGGGTGTTGAAAGGGTTAAAGGGGACACGATGCTAACCAATCACCCTCTCTCATTTCTTGCAGAGTTCCAGGACCGCACGCTCAGAGGAGGACCGTGAAGGCCTCTGGGATGCCTGGGGCCCTTGGAGTGAGTGCTCCCGCACCTGTGGTGGGGGTGCCTCCTACTCCCTGAGGCGCTGCCTGAGCAGCAAGTAAGTCCTGTCCTAATTAGGGACTTTGAGAATCAGAGATGGCTAGCTTGAATCAGGGTTCTGTGGGTGGGGTCGTGCAAAACATTGTGTTGCTTGTAAAGTAAGTGACTGGAAGGGGGAGGAAAGGAAGACACAACAAATTAAATTTTAGAGGTTTTGTGTTGTCGTGGCCGTCTCTAACTAGGTGTTTATTGTTTTGTAACAAACAACAGAGAAGTCACACCATTTCTCTGGAAAATTAAATTGCTTTTATGTTAGGTCTGGAAGGACAATTTATTATTTGAAATGGTTCTGGACTCATTAGCTACGATATGGAACTCTTTGTAGCATGTACAAGTTACGGTGATAATAACAGCATGAACATTCCATTGTTACCAAAAAACTTGCAAATGAATGAGATGTTGGCTTTGTTTCTAATAGCCAGATATTCCTTAAAGCCATTGAGTTCAATGATGGGCTTTAATATAAGGTTTGGAAAGATAGAAACGTCCAAACCATGACATGACTAGCGAGATAATGCAGAGATAGAAGTTGCTAACGGCTTCTAGGCAGAATGGAAAATGCCGGGGGCCTTAGAATGGAAAGTTTTTACTAAGAGAAATAATAATCCAAATCTGCTTTCTGAGCTGTGTGGTCTATGACTAGATTTGTCTCCAAACTATAAAATATAAAGTACCATGGCAGTATTTTTTTAATGAAAGATTTTATTTGACAATGAAAAGTGTTAAAGGCAGCATGAAGAAGGAACATTTGGTCAAAGTCACTGTGCAATACAAAGTGTGAAACAGAAGAATGTGTCTATACACTGATTCTCTTAGACATTTTAAAGTTTTGGCTTAAAAGTTTTCATACAAGGATATATTGTATGTTGAGTGCATTCCCTCCATAGCACCCTACTGTCCTTTTTGGCCCCTTTCCATCTTGTAAGTGTCCTTTTTTGACCTTAGATAGTTTTATGTCTACTTTCACATCATATATACATAGATAAGCTTATGTATCTGTATAAAACATAGGGGTCACAAGTGAGAGAAAATAGTATTTGTCTTTCAGAGACTAATAAGATTGAGCCCAGTTGCATACATTTTCCTGCAAAAGACATAACTATTCTTTTTGTGTGTAAAAATTGCATTATATGTGTTCTGAATGTTCTGTAGCTATTCCTCTGTTGTTGGGCACTGAGGTTGGTTTCATGACTTAGTGGCTAGTGCTGCAATAACCTTTGATGTACACATGTCTCTGTGATATGTTGACTTGAATTCTTTTAGGTAAATACTCAGGAGTAGCATACATTTATTTTTTCTTCTTGTCCTATTCCCATAGCTAAGACTTTAAGTGTTACATTTTTTAAGAGTGGAGAAAGTAGCTATACTTGTCTTCTTCTTGAATTTAGTGGGAATACTTGCGTTTCCCCCTGTTAAGTATAGTGCTGAATGTATGTCTATCATACAGTCTTTACCGTGTTGAGATAAGTTTCTCATAGTCTCCTCATGTTTTTCTCATGAAGGGATGCTAGGCTACATGAGAAGCCCTTTCTGAATCTATTGAGATGATCATGTGGTTTCTGTCCTTATACACATTTATGTGATACAATTTATTGAACTTAATACATGTTGTGCCTTCCCTGTATCTGTGGCTGAAACCAACTTGATAAGGGTAAATAATCTTTTAAATACGATCACAGATTCTCTTTAAAAATATTTTATCAAGAATTTTTGCATCTATGTTCATCAGGGAGTTTAGTCTTTAATTTTCTTTTCTGTGTAGCTTGTCTGGTTTTAGAATCAGAATAATGCTGGTCTCATAAAACAAGAGTTTTATAACATTCCTTCCTTTTCTGTTCTATGGAGTAATTTCATAAGCATTGTTGTTAGCTCTTGCTTTTTAATTTTTTTCTTTTAAAGTAACAACCCTATTATAAGTTGCCAAGGATCTATACTCCCAATACTCAAAACTTTGCTGTGTCTTTCTGTACCCAGTTATAACACTCCACATATTTCCTATGTCAGTAGACACTTTTCTATCTATAATGTAATTTCTTAATTGTGCTTACAATTTCACCACCTATATTTTCATTATTTCAGTTGATTATTCTCTTAATTACCTTTAGATCGTTCTAGGTCTTCTTGTGTCTCCAAGGATATTTATTATAAATAGGTTTTAAAAGACAACTTTTTCTGCAATATCTTTTCTTCCTCTTAGGTACCCTATACTCGTTAATGTTTATGTTTTTTTCACTAGTGATCAAACCTGTGCCTCGCATGCTAAGCAAGTGCTCTGCCAACTGGGAAACATCCCAACTCTCTCATGCCTATTGATCTCTGACAGCCCATTTATTAGGAAAGCAGATGAGCTAGAACATTACTGGAAGCTCAGTATATAGGAGGGTTTGCTGCCAAGTGGCCTTCTGAGTAGCATTATCTTTGGGGTGGAAAGTATTGTCTAATTCTGGTCCCTAAAAGAGATTCTCCATTTGGAAGGAGTGGCAGGCAGCAGCCCTAGGGAGTAAGCAAGGATGGGCTAGGTTCTACCACTCAGACCACAGAATACCACCACCTATGGTCTCTGCTCACAGATCATTGCAGAATATAGCAATGTATCTCTCTGGACTTGGATGGTTTTTAGTCTAGAGAGATTTTTTATCACTACTTTAATCATACATCTTGCTACATATCTGTTTAGACTTTTGCTCATCCTGATTTAAGTTTAGTAGATCTATGAATCTAGAAATTCATCCATCTTGTTTAGGTTTTCAAATTTAAGGAAGCAGGAGATTTTAAGGTATGTCCTAAGGGTTTTGTGAATATCGGAATGTGTTGTAGTGACTTCCTTTTCATTTATGACTGTATTAATTTGGATACTTTCTCTCTCCTTGTTGGTTTGGCTAAGAATTTATTTATTTTGTTTGTCTTTCCAAAGAACCCACTGTTTTTTCATTGATTTATTGTATTACTTTATGGTTTCTATTTCAATAATTTCTATTCTAATTATTTTTTTTTGCATTACTGATTTTGAGTTTGGCTTGCTTCTGTACATCTAAGGCCCAAAGGTGTATCATTACATTATTTTACTGGAGGTGGCTATAATATTTTTAAATGTAGGTACTAATAGCTCTAAACTTTCTTCTTAGCTCTTCTTATGGTATGTCTTTGATTCAAGGAATTTGTTGATCACCATCTTGATCATTTCTTCAATGATCCATTCATCATTCAAAAGTGTGCTGTTTAATATTCATGAGTTTGTGTATATTCTTTAGTTTCTGTAGTTGATTTACGATTTTATTCTGTTGTGATCAGATAGAATACAGGACCTTATTTCAGTTTTCCTATATTTGTTAATACTTGCTTTGGTCCTATTGTATGATCTATTTTAGAGAAAATTCTCTGGGCTGCTAGAATGAATGTGTATTCTCTAATGTTTGGATTAAATGTTTTATAGATATCTTTAGACCCATTTGATCTATGATGTCAGTTAACTCAGGTGTTTCTCTGTGTAAATTTTGTCTGGATGATTTGTCTATTGGGGAAAGTGGAGTATTGAATTTACCCACTCTTATTACTGTCTTGGGGTTAATCTATGACTTTTCATAGAATTGTGTTTTGTGAAATTTCATGCATCCACATTTAGTACATACATATCTAAGATTATAATATCCTCTTGGTCAGTATGAAGTGACTCTCTGACAAGGTATGGGGTTGAAGCCCATTTTTTTTCAGATATGAGAATAGCAACAGCTTTGTGCTTCTAGTTCCATTGACTTAGAATTCCTTTTCTGTCTTTTCACCCTAAAGTTGCATGTACCTTCGATGACGAGGTATGTTTCCATGAGGCAACAAATAGATCCTGGTTTATTTATTTATTTAATCTTCTAGTCAGTGTCTTTTGACTGGGGAATTGAGATCATTAATATTCAGAGTTAGTGAAAAGCATATGTTAATTCCTGTCCAACTTTGATGTGATAGTGTTTGTTTTATCTTATTATATTTTATTATGTTACATTTTATTATTATATCTTAGAAGCCTGTTCTTTTCTAATGAGAGACAGAAAGGGAGTGGATACTGATGGATGGGGATGTGGAGAGGAACTGGGAGGAATAGAGGAAGGGGAAATCATAATCAGGATATATTATGTGAGAAAAGAATCTATTTTAAATAAAAGGAAAAATATAAAAAAAAATAAAAAAATAAAAGCAAGGCCTGTAAGGTCAAAAAAAGAAAGAATATGTTATATGCATTTATCCATGAGCATGGCATCCTTCTCTCATATTTAGGTTTTTATATTTCTCAGTTATATTTTAGTAGCTGTCATAGGTATCATATGTTAATTGATTGTTTATTATAGTAAATGTTATTTTAGTCTTGTTCTTTAAGTTATATTGAAACATATACATTTGGGAATATAAATATATGGAAACATTTATTTTATATCATATCAAAATTTTTCCTGAAGTGACTTATTAGTGTTCATAGATTTTACACATCCCTTATGATTTCAATACACAACTCTTATCAATGATTTGAAAGTTACAGCACAAGATTCCTTGTCTCCTTTGCATCTTTCTTTTATCTTGTTTTGCCTTGTGGACACTGTGGTACAATGTTGGGAATTGTTTTTCACAATATTGGGCTTCTGGAAAAAAAATACTAAGCATTTCATATTGCAGTATGAAGTTAACTGTTTGTATTTTCTTAGATGGCCTTTCTGTGATTGACAAATTTACCTCCAAGCTTTGCTGTCTTTTCAGGAATAAATGTTAAATTCTCTCTCTCAAAAAAAGGGAAAGGGAGGGAGGGAGAGGCGGGGGAGGAGGGAGAAAGGAAGGAAGGAAGGAAGGAAGGAAGGAAGGAAGGAAGGAAGGAAGGAAGGAAGGAAGGGAGGAAGGAAGTCTGTTCTCCCTTACAGCTTTCAATATTCATTCTTTGTTCTGTATAGTGTTTTGTTCTGTATAGATGTTGGGGGGGTCTTTTCTGCTGTTGTCTCTTTGGTGTTTTAAACACCCCCT